AACCTTTATATACATATATATTATAAAGTAAAAGGGCCCTTGAGTAATGCAATATTGAGATATTGTTCCCCCACGTATAACATTTCGATTGTATTCAATACTAGCTTTTGCCGCGGCTTCGTCTGCGTGGAATAGTGACTTCCGGCAGATTTTTGGTTTTTCCCACATAGTTCCCGTTCTTGCGGGGTTTTCGGAATGGTCGAGTTCCCGTAGAATTTTTAGGATAAAACCTATGTTTTTTTTTATTCACAATGAAGTACTCTTAACCAACAACATATTTATTTGTTTATTTGAATAAAGATTGATATTATTATGTTAATACAACTGAAACTGAAATTATTTCGACCAAATTAGGTGCCATAAAAACGGTTTTTGTGAGTTAATCTTAAAACATAGACATATACTGTCGCGGACTGTTTTTTAGATCATTAAAACAGCTATTATTCTTTAATACATATTTTTTATGTATCTTGAACCGTTTTTACGGCGCACGCAACGAAAGGCTTCAAAGATGAAATAATTTCTCCCGTTTTTTACACATTTACCACTATATCTTTGCTCCTATTGGTCGTAGCGTGATGTTATATGGCCTACAGCCTTCCTCGATAACTGGACTATCCAACACAAAAAGAATTATTCAATTCGAACCAGTAGTTTCGGAGATTAGCGCTTTCAAACAAACAAACAAACAAACTCTTCAGCTTTATAATATTAGTATAGACGAGAGGTATCGTCTCATAATTTAGGCTATTTAATGAGAAACGGGAAACGATAAGTAAATAGTTTAACGATAACTTGGAGTAAGCTTGTTGATATGAAATAATCTTTGAATGGTAGATAGTCCTTAGTATATCTTCTACATAGCAATTTCCCAGCTTTAGCCAGGGTCTGCTTTACATGTTGTGATGGTTGTGGCTAATTGTTTTTACGACCGGCCGCCTGCCTGACAGCAACCCTCTTTGGGAATGCATTAATCAGTGATGTCTAAATACTCTTAGAAAGTACATATGACTCGGAAAAATCACATTGGTACTTGCCAGGATCGAACCCGCGCCCTAATGCAAGAGAGGCCGACCTTTTAACCACTTAAACTAAAATATGTTTATATAGACATTTTACCTAACATTATATATTCTTATGTTCCATATTTTTTATCGTTCCTTCGACAATGAGACGGTGGCGTCTTGCCAAAACAGTTCTGCCAACTACAAAAGTTATTGGCAGAATGTAGTAATGCTTAAATGTTTTTGTTATTCACGTTCTACCAACATAATAATATTGTATACATATTAATAGGTTTTATTACTTAGCCGTTTTATTTCAAAAATAATTAGTAATACATATGAAATTATTGAAAACTATGGATTATTAAGGAAGGTTATTTATATTGAAAACCTCTTTGGTCGTAAATAGTAATAAGATTTAGTGGTTTCTAACTAAAATACAGCTAAATAAAGGTCATAACTAAGCCTTACGTGGAATATTACGTCTATACCTAATAAAGATAAACAATTCTTATCACAAAACAGTTAAACTATGAGTCATTAGTAATTTAACTTCGTTTTGTCCTTAGTACGTGTCTACGTTGTTAAATTAACTCACCTTTTCTAGTATTTTGATACATCGTAAACAGCATAACTGTATGTATTTAGTATAATATGAAAATTGAAAACTTGTTCTAAGGTTTCAAATCCATTTTTTGAGTGTAATTTATATAATATACTAGTTTTTGACCGCGACTTCGTCCGCGTTAATTTCGTCATTAGTAATATATGTATAGCTGACCAGGCGAACTCTATTCCACCCTAGAGGCTGTAAATAACCAGATATTGGAATTATTAAGTTTTTTTCTTTGATCGATCAGAATTAAATAACCTATGTCCGTCTCCTGGTTCTAATCTATCTCTCCACCAATTTTCAACCATTTCCGTACAGCCGTTCTTGAGTTATAAATAGTGTAACTAACACGACTTTCTTTTATCCTAATAATATTATAATTGCGAAAGTTTGTGAGTGTGTGTATGTTTGTTACTTCTTCACGCTCAAACGGCTGAACCGATTTTGATGAAATTTTGTATACAGGAAGCTGACGTCCAGGAATAACACATAGGCTACTTTAAATCCCGGAAATCCGCGGGTAACACCGCGGGGCGCAGCTAGTATAGATTATTATTAAAATTTATTCTAACATCAGTATTAAATGAACAATTTCTTGGACGTCCCATTATGTAAGGATATGGGATTCGTCGTCTTGTTGGCGCCCGACTTTATCGATCGGATTATTAAGTGGGGTAACTTTAAGATTCTTTGTTATTTTCTATATATAACACTTTTCTATATATAATATATATACATTTAAATATTATATTATATATAAACAAGTTTTATTTCTCAAAGATTTGATCATCAAGTAAAAACAACAATATATTCATTTTTTATAGTTACTTAAATTTTACTAAACAATTATTTTTATGATTGAGTGATATAATTAATAGGATACTTAATATATAAAATAATGCAGACAAAGTCGCGTTTATTAATTAGTTATAATAAACTCTGAAACCTTAGAAAGATAGTAAAATTCGATTACATAAAGTCTAAAACCAATTAGTATTTAATTATTTAGCAAGATTAGACGTATAGCCAATAATATTAAATATTAATCTTTTAATATATGTATATATATCTTCATTACGAAATTACTAGACTTTTACTATGAAGAAACGATCTCTTAAACGTAACATTAATCTAGATTTTATCCGCGATGTCACAATATAACACCAATACGTAGCAAATGTTTAAATACTTTACTACGTTTTAATTCAATTTATATGTATATATATATATATATATATATATATATATATATATATATATTATTTAAAATCAACGATGGTAATTAAATTTAAGAATATTCATATATGTTTTTAGATTTTCGCTGAGAAAGAAATATTTATAAGTAAAAAGATTAATTAAAATGACAAAATTACGCCATCTTATGCTTCCGATGTATGGGATTTGAAATGACGTCATCGGTTTACGAAATTTGTGTTACCATATTAAGTAATATTATTTATTTATCTAAACTATTTAAGGATAATTGCTGACTTAACTCAGTAATACTTTTTGTCACAATTATTATATTACTAGTTTTCCGCCCGCAGCTTCGCCCGCGTGGAGTTCAGTTATATCGCGTTTCCAAGAAAACCTTTCAAAAGTCTGGGATAAAAAACTATCCTATGTTCTTTCTCAAGGTCAACTCTGTCTGTACCAAATTTCATTAAAATCAGTTCAGTGGTTTAGGCGTGACAGCGTAACAGACAGACAGACAGAGTTACATTCGCTTTTATAATATTAGTAGGGATATACGACCTCTTTGATAACATGACTTTTTTGTAACATTCTTCGTGATTTATTGCAACGTTTATGTATAATTTATGTACCTTTTTACATTATTTTAGCGAATAAATATATAAAATAGATAATAGTATGATAAATATGGCTTAGTTTTGATAGTAATCATCTATTTTCATACTTAATATATATATTTTGGTCACTAAAAGTCAAGTCTGGCTGTATGTGACTATTTGTCAAACTGACGTAACTTTAGGCGGCAGTTATGACCAAATATTATTAATATTTTTAATTGAAATTAATCATCTTTGAAATACTTTATTTTTAAGCATTCATTTAAAAATAATAACTATATGTTTATACGAAATAAAATTATATTATTATAAAGGGGAAAGATTCTATGTTTTTATAGTTGAATAAAATCGTAATTTTTTCAAATTAAGTCATTATTAAGCATATACCTAATACTTTTTCTCCATATTTGGACCCTTATTTTCACATATATTACTTATTATATTTGATATTTCTCCCGACTTCATCTGTATTTTAAAAGCGTGTTTTTTTATCACGTACTAGGTCAAGGATGAAGCTTGCATACAAAATTATCTCTCCTTCAAGAGACAAAAAATATTTGAACTTTAGAGATATTAACCGACAATTAAAGAAGGAGGTTGTGTGTTTTATTATCATAATGGTTGTCAATGACTTGATTTATAATTATTTATGATAAATGTTTTAAAATATACATATATGTATTACTTTTTTGGTACTGATTGAATTCTCTCAAATATTATCAAATATATGTTACTAGTAAATATTTTTTATAAATTGCAAAGAAATATAATTCGTTGACATGAAAAGGAGTCGAATATTGGACTTTCTGCATTTTCCTCTCCAGTTTTTTTTTAAACTGAGTTCTTCTTCTTCTACCTGGCAATTTCCCAGCTATAACCAGGGTCTGCCTTACTTGTTGTGAATAGTTTTTGGCTATTTGTTTTTTACGACCGGCCGCCTGCCTGACGTCAACCCTCTTTTGGGAATCAACATTAATCAGTGATGTCTAAATACTCTTAGAAGTACATATGATTCGGAAAAATCACATTGGTACTTGCCCGGGCCAGGATCGAACCCGCGCCCTCGGCGACGAGAGGCGGGCCCTTTAACCACTGAGCCACCACTGACTTTCTAAACTTTTTTTTTTAAACTGAGTTATAGAGACGAAATAAATAACTAATTAGTGAATCAATAATAACAGTGTTAAAACATATATAAATGTATGCAATATATAATATATGTATAATATCTTGGTTTGAAAGACACTATTATTTGAAAGATTTATTGGTTTTTCTCTAAGAAAAGATTTTATTGTGAGGTCTGCAAAAGGTACAATCTATATTAGGCTCACAATAAAAAGCTTACAATACTAAACCGTAAGACAAGAATCGACATTTAAAGCTATTAATTTACTTAATATATAATTATAATAAATATAATCTAGTATACTTTCTTTTAATTCTCATCTTAACAAGTTTTTTATACGTTATAATTTTTAAATTAACCACAAATAATGTTTGTTGTTTGTCTATGACACGTAAATAAAATTATATTTTTCTTTATATATATTAATTTAAATGTTATTGTTCCAGCAAGGCGTCGGTGTGGAAATAGTCCGTGCTTTAGACAGTCACCCACCAAACCTAACTAACGTGTTCTGCGAGTGTGACACTAAGGATGACGTGGTGGGTAAAAACTATTTTATGCTAAAATTCTTCTTTTTTTTCCTGGCAATTTTCCCAGCTTTAGCCAGGGTCTGCCAGATGATATAGGTAATATAGAATTAAAATATCATAGAGTAATTTTTTGTTAAATTATTTCCGTTCAAGAGAAAACAAAGCCCATATAGCCATGTCTTTTGTGTGTTTAATTAATTCCATAGAAATTTATGTATATTTTTAGTTTTGACATTGACTTATATGAAAGTCAAAGTGAGTTTTCTTTTATAAATCTAATTAGTAATTACTGATACTTGAAAAATATTAAACATTTAAGTAAATATAAATATTAAGACTAGATATTGATTAATTAATCGTTAAATACTTAATTTGTATATTAAAATGCATACAAATCTAGTTTATAATTCATTTTTTAAAAGAAAATAACATTAACAGTTATAAATGTATTTAAGTGAACAATTTCATTACACTCAATAATAAAGCGGAAGATTCAATTGTGACAATTGACTTTAACAAGATGTTGCCAACGTTTTGATTTGACTTACTGAATTATTATAATTTATTATAGTGGCAATACTATTATTAATTATTTTACAAAATATAATTTATTGTTATTTTTGATTTTCATTATAAGAGTTTATAGAAACGGATAAGAGAAATAAGTATATAATTATAATAAAATCGCAATTATTGGTATCATTTGTGGCAAAGATTGCTTTCTTAATTAATTTTTTCTGTGTTCAAGTAAAACTTTTTATAGACTTATTTATTAAAGAATATAATAATAACATTAATATTATATAAAATTATGTAGTAAGCAACTTTATAATTGTGTTACAATATTATAACGAATAAGAGTGGAAAATAAAATTGATAGGTCAAAGTGAATCTTATAATGTCTAAAATTATTCCTATTATTGCATATTCTATGATATTTTCTAAATTATGTCATATTCTGCATGTTTATAATAAATGATAAACGGAATAATAAGATTAGATTTTGGTGATAATTTGCTTTCTCTTAACAACAGTTTCGTTTAATATCTTATCCTCTTATCCTCTATAAATTCTGTCAACTTATACATAGATATAAAACATTGCATCAAGTAGAAAAATATTCTTCAAGCCAATATACTCCTTTAATATATGTATTATTATAAAGAACGAACAAGACAAATCTTATCGACAAATTAACAAGTCTCATTGTATCAAAACCAAAGACCTTTTTTAATTATTTTTTTTTTGCTATGGCTTCATTCGCACTGTAATCGTTTAATATTTTACAAATGAGAACTTTTTTTTGTAATATTTTACCTATACTTTTTGATGCAAAGTATTAATCCGTTATGTCAATGTCAAATGTCACCTGTCAAGTGTCACCTGTCAACTATATTTTTTATATTGCAGACCATAACCTGTGACTGTGAAGCGACTCCCGCCTTCCAGCTGAAGGCATTCAGTCAGCGTGGAGAGAAGGTTGAAGTATCACACTACAGAGTCAATGTTAATAAGTGAGTTTTATAATATAATAAGATATAAAACTATCTTTATATATAAAAGAAAGTCGTGTTAGTTACACTATTTATAACTCAAGAACGAATGTAGGGATATCGTTGAAAATTGGTGGAGAGATAGATTAGAACATAGAAAGGACGTAGGATACTTTACATACGATTGAAAAAGCAAAAAAAAATAAGTTAGATGAAAACAAAATCTTTTTAACTTCTTTAAAGAGGAACAGAAACTAATATATTTCGGATTATTTGCGTATTTTATTATTGTAAAAACTACATACTCCCGACGTTTTGGTAACTTTACAGCAACCGTGATCATTAAGACGAGATGTGAATGTGAGTTTTATAATAATTATATGTATAACATAATAATTATATGTGTTTTTTTTATGAATTATGAGATCTAAGACTTACGAAGACAGAAACTTTTAATCTTCTATGCCCGTGATCACGGTTGCTGCAAAATTACCGCAACGTCGGGAGTATGTAGTTTAAAATGATAAAAACTTGTTTTACATCCGAAAATATTCTATATAAATGAATTATTTGAAATCGGGGAATATTTTATTTGTTGCGGTTTCCCACACTGATAAGTAATTCGATAACGCTTCTATTTTATTTTCATTTCGTTCTTTCAGATAAGTTGCGAAAATTTATGGTATGAGAAAACTCTTTTCAGAGTTGAAAGTTTTTAACACATCTTTAGTCTTATTAAATTATTAATATCATTTATAGATAATAGTTGAAAATAATGAAAGGACACTTAAAAATACGATCTATGTGTTTTGCGATATTTGTTAAAATTATCTTATTGTTAACAAAGGTATTTTTAATTTAAAAATGCCTAAAATTTATTGTCAGCTCGTTCTTTCGCATAAATTGCGAATATTTGTGGTATAAATAATGCTCTTTGCAAAATTGATAACGTTTTTAACATAATATTAAGTCATTAGGAAACTGTTTTTGTTAAAAAATGTCGTTTATAGATAATTAATGAAAATAATCAAATGAAATTTAATACAAAAATGCCTCGAAAAACAAAATATAAAGTTAAATTATTGTCAGCATATCTATTTTTAATTTCAAAATGTCTAAGATGCTAAAAATTTATTTTCATTCGGAAAATTATCTTCAAAACTTTAATTTCTTAATAAATCATTATTAACGTCACTAAGGCTAGATTGAATATTCTTTAATATTACCAAAAACAGTAATATCTTTTTCCCTAAAATTCCATATAAATAAATAATAATAAAATATTAAAATATGTAATTCTTTTTATACTTTATTGGTATTACGTGATTTTAGTTCCCATTGATAAAAATTAAATAAAAGAGCTTTGTCTTTATAAAATAAATCAATAGACGATTTCATTAACGTATTTATATAGAAAAACTAAAAAATTGTTAAAACTTTTACAAAATACAGTCGCAATGCAGTGGAATGAAATTTATTATAACGAAAGGCGAAAACTGCAGTAGCTTATAGCGTCAGGATTTGCGTGACTATCTAACTAGGTTGTATTCACGTTTACTAAACCTAAAACGATGTAACTATTGATATATACATTAATATTCTAAGCATAAGACTTTCGCGAGTATTCATTTAAATGAAACTAATATTATTCGGATTACTACTCGTATTTTATTATTTTAAATGATATATTACCGACGTTTCGGTTACTTTTCGGCAACCGTGATCACGGACAGACGTAATGTTAATGAGAATACGCATAGTATAATTCGAAAAATAATAGTTTCATTTAAAAATATTCCACTAAATTACAGTAAAATACATTATAATTACAGTCTAATTTTTTAATTTATTATAACATACATAAATAAATGAAACTCAAAGATTTTTTTCATTTTTTGTCAGATTCCGAGCTCGTCTCCACATAATATGCGTGACAGATAAACTGACGGGAGAATTGAAATGTGATGGCTGGCCAGAAGTAAAGGTGGCACTCGCGCCTGTGGGACCTTTGAGGCCTAATGCTACTGAAAATGATTTGCAGCAGATTGTGAGGTAAGAAGAACAGGTTCTAAGGGTCAGAATGATAGATATAGGCAGAAGAAATAGTTATTTCGATTTTTGTAAACTAATTCGTACAGAGTACAACATAAAAATGTAACAATCTTCAACTATCATTCTTGATGTAGAATGACATAGGATATGAAACTTAATTAGATAATCACGTTAAAATTTACATGTAAATAGAAATTCTGATTAATGAATTAGTTTGTAATTGCTAATTAACAATAATATTTATCGATACACTAGTTGATTACTTTCTTTAATAATCATGCTTGTATATAATCATAAAGTTTTGTTTATTTTGTAAACTAATTATATTTATAATCGAGCATTAAATGGTTCTGAATTGAATACAATATTTCATAATCTTTATAATTCAGAGATTATAAATGAGAGGCACCTATATTTAGGGCTTTAATCATTTTGGACTTAATAAATTTCGATGGACAATTGATGTCAAAAACAAAAACAATATCAGATCAAATAATTATACTCCGAAACCCATTATATAGTGTATCTATATTTTACTATTTTTTACGCAAAAAGGTCCATTTATAAGCAATTTTTTGTATAAAACTAGATTATCACACGTAAAATTTTTAAATTCGATGAAATTTGTTTGTTACAACTATTCTTTTTTACATATTCCAGTGATATAGTAGTCAGCGCGCTCAGAAACACACAACTATCATTTAATCTCGCCCATTACCCGACTTGTCCGAGACTGCGGCGGTATTCGGCTGAACCCAGTAGACTTCCACTACATTATGACTCAATGGTGAGTTTGATTATAGAAGAAGAAACACCAGAAAAAGAGCAATAGATTTGATAAATAATTATATATATCCTTTGCTTGTAAAGTTATAACTTTACTTGGTTTATGGATCGCTAGCTATAAGCTAGGATTTCTATGTAAAAAATATTTTTTTAATTTTTAACTACAAAATAAAGTTTAAACCAAAAATATATTTATATATACAGTCTTCCGCGGTGCCTGTTTTATTTGTCAATATATCCAAAATATAAATAATAAAGCGTCATGAGTATAGTATCTACAAATAATATTAAGTTGCTCAAACTTCATTTACACCAAAGATATAATATTAAAATAGTAAGATTTTTTTTTATTGGCACTTAATAATTCTATATGTATTGTGTGTCAGCTACACTCTGAGAGACCGTACACATCAACACCCAACTCCACGGCCGGCTGTGTTCAACTCCTGGGAGATAAACGGCTGCTGGTTAAAGTCGTTAGCGCCAAGGACTTGGGAGGTGAGAAAAATATTTAATATCAAGTATTTATAAGGCAATATAGACCAGTGCCGATAGCTTTTAAAACATAATTAAATTATAGTAGAATAAAACTCTTAAGAAAAGGAGGGGAATATTATAAAAATTAAAGGAAAAATAATTTACCGGCGATCTGAAGTCGGGAAGGGTATGGGGTGGGTAATTAAGGGTAAAAAATGGGTTTTCTCGATTTCCGACGAAACTAAAAGTCCTACGGAAAAAAGTTATATGACAAAGTTGTAAGTAATAAAAAGATCTAAAACTTTAATATTTACATTTTTTTTCACATAATCTCAAATTTTATGTGAAAAATTCGAAAAACCATTTTTGGTTTTTTATTTTTATCCCTTACAAAAAACAATATTTTGTCACGAAATTTGGTGAAAACTTATCTTTCGATGTCCCAAATACACTGTAATTTATTTGATTGGAAATATTTATTTTATTCAACTAATTTTGAATAAATATCGAAAAATCAGCCCCATTTTCAATCGAAAAAACACCCGTCAAAATATCAGCTTTATTCAAAAATTTGATGTTTTCTGTTCGTTTAAATCTCTATTTTCCGATGCTGAAAAAATAAATATAAGTTTCTTACTTATAGTACCATTTTTGGGATAAAATAATCATGTCCCTTTTAATGAAATGACACTCGACATCGTTTTGAAAATGCTCTTTCTAATTTATTTTTAATAGTTGTGTACTCTGGAAGTTCTCCAGATAGTCCCTCTTTTAGGTAATTTACAGAAAATTGACATTAAGCTGCTAAAACTCAACGTAACAGATGGCGTTAGTAGTTACATTGATAGAATTGTTATATGAATGTCTTAATATTAAGAGAAACAAGCTATAAGCTTCACGAATCATTGTGAAAAGAAACAGTTTAGAAATTAATGAGATCTGAGATTTTCGCGAGTCATTTAAATGAAACTAATATAAATCGATACAGGCAGACGAGATGTGCGCGTTATCACGGTTGCTGTAAAGTAACCGAAACCGAAAGTAGTTTAGATCAAAAATAATGTCGCGTAGTATATCCGCAAAATATTAGTTTCACATTAGAAAATAGGATATATTTTATTATAATTTACTTAAATATAATAATTAATATGTATAAGAAAATACATCGCCTCGCTTCAAGATAAAGTTACATGGTCATTAACATATAATATGTGTATATGTATATATTTTCAGGAAAATCTGGTTGTATGGCGCCGTATTGTGTGGTTGAAATGGATGAACCTCCTCAAAGGAACCAGACGGCCTTCAAGAGAGACACCACCAGTCCCGTGTGGGAGGAACACTTCCTATTGTGAGTTATAGAGAAAAAGAGAGAGAGAGACGGATGATATACCCGTCTCGCTCACTCAGAATCTAATATATATAATTTCTATATCACAATGTTCGTCACCGTACTCCTATGAAACTGCTTTACCGATTTTTACCAAATTTTATATACGTATTCAGTAGGTCTGAGAATCGGTTCCTATCTATTTTTCATACACCTAAGTGATGAGGATCCACCCTTAATTTTTGGATTATAATTTTTTATAATGTGGCATCGACAACACATATTTATAACTCTAAATTTTTATCACCAACCCCTATTTTTATATGGCAAAACAACGTTCAAATCAGCTAGTCTGTTTATAAATTAGCTGTAATATAGGTATATATATATTTTCTATTCCACAGCGACCTCTCAGCACAAACAGCTGAATTACTATTCGAAGTGTACGACCGAGGACCTGCATCAACCGGAGCTATGACCGGCAGCACGCAGCACAGGTGAGAAAGAGATAGATTGAGATACATAGAGATAGATGGAGATAGAAATTAATAAATATAACTAATGACGGTAGGTTGGTAAGAAAGGGGAAAATGAAAAAGATGTTTGTAGTATTTAATATGTATTGAAGGGTACTTTAAAAAATATACTTATATATGTACATATATGGCTTGTTTTACTGTACATATTATAAAATATATATATAGTCGTGGTGGCCTAGAGGTTAAAGGCCTGCTTCTGGTGCAAAATCTGGCAAGTATCAATGTGATTTTTAATTTTGAAGTCATTTGTACTTTCTAAGAGTATTTAGACACCACTGACAGATAAAGGAAAACATCGTGAGGAAACCTAGACTTATAATTACAAATTATAAGTTTGAAATCGCCAACCCGTCTTACAAGCGTGGTGATTAATGCTCAAACCTCCTCCACGTGAGAAGAGGCTCAGCAGTGGGCTCTGATAGGCTGATGTTTATATATAGTTAGTTGATTGTTATATTTTCTTTCAGATTCCTAGGTCTAGGTCTAGTTGGTATAGACGAGCTGTTAGCAGCTCCCTCCCAGAGACAACAGATAGGGCTTCAAACTAGGCCTATGGAGGAGCACGACGTGAGCGGGAGTCTCACGGTTGAGGTATAGTTAAGTTAATATCATTAATTTAAATGAAACTAATATTTTTAGGATAACAAAAACGTCAAACGTATATATTTATTATACGTATTATGGAATTAACGAAGGACGATGGACTTGAAAATTTATAGATGCAACATTGCAAGATAATTTTTTCGAGGCTTAAAGCGACGGCTTGCATGTCGCGGCTTAGCCGTGTCAGGTTAAAAATATAACGACTATCAGAAGTACAATTAGAAAATACACAATGTTTTGTAGGCATTACAAATTGCTTCAGTTTTTTTTTATGTTTATAGTTGTTTATTTTAATAATAGTAGAACGTACGTTTGACGCTGTTGTCTATTGAGAATTCGAAACATAGGCATCTCACGACGGTTCTATCTCTAGCGGATCTTTTTTAAATCTTCCCACGAAAAAAGCTAGTTAAATTGTCAATATTAACTCGTATTAAAGTAAAACTCTCTGCATATATCCTATATATCTCGTTTTTTGTGAAAGACAATAATCCAAAACAAGATATCCTTTTTTCTCTCTCTCTCTCTCCATATATTGTCATATCGTTTCAGTTCCTGTTCATAGAGGGCGCTGACATCCCGGAGCTCGGCTCCAAGCCTTTCAAGATCAAGGAGAGTCTACGGACCGTGACGTCACAGGGACGGACTACAACTACCACTAAAACTACCTTCCAACAGAACGGTAACAACACTATGAACTATTATTATCCTTCTTCTACCTGGCAATTTCCCGGCTATAGCCAGGGTATGCCTTAAATGTTGTGAATAGTTTTAGCTAATTGTTTTTACGATCCGCCTGCCTGACATCAACCCTCTTTGGGAATGCATTAATCAGTGATGTCTAAATACTTTTAGAAAGTACATATGACTCGGAAAAATCACATTGGTACTTGCCAGGGCCAGGATCGAACCCGCGCCCTCGTGCAAGAGAGGAGGGCGTTTTTACCACTAGGCCACCACTGACTAATCACGCTATATGAACTATTATATTGATACCTAGATCATGCCCGCGGCTTTACCATGGATAATAAAACCCCTTTGTATATGTATATACTAGCTGCGCCCCGCGGTGTTACCCGCGGATTTCCGGGGTGTAAAGCAGCCTATGCGTTATTCCTGGACGTCAGCTTCCTGTATACAAAATTTTATCAAAATCCGTTCTGCCGTTTGAGCGTGAAGAAGTAACAAACATACAAACACACTCGCAAACTTTCGCAATTATAATATTATTAGGATATATATCTTAAAAGGTTTTATTCCATTTCTCGTATCTCTTTTAATCAGATCTTCATTTGGTGATAGCACATTATTCAGTACTAGGGCGTTACTTTGAAAATAATGTACAACAGTGTGTAATTTTTTGATGTTGTTTAAAAAGTTACCTATGTTATACTCTATAATATAATCTATCTTTCAGTCAAAGTTTAATCAAAATGTTGTATTTGTGTCGCAGGTCACGACACAGGTCCACAGCTAACTCAGTCGGCGTTACAAGAACTGGAAATGAGTCCAACCTCGCCCGCCAACAAGTCCACGCTCATCATACACTCTGTACAGCGGGTGAGATACACACACACACGCACACACACACACACACACACACACACACACACACACACACATGATGGCGAAAAGACTTTAATATTAAACAGACGAATCCGGACAAAAATATATGTCTAAATATTTTGGAAAGCTATACCTTTAAAGAATAAAGACATATAAACTTAATAAATACATATATATGTACAGGGTGACTGGTGAATTACTATCAATATTTAAGGACGTGGTAGTTGACGATCATATATGACAAAATAAAAATTAATATAACATAAATATTAATAAACTTCTAAGTAAAGTTAACCAAAAGTTATGTAATTAATTACGGATCCCGTGGATACCCTAGCTGCGTTATCGACACAAAACAGTTATGTACGTAGGTATATGTAGTTATCGCGCGGTAGTTTACCTACATCCAAACGCCGCGCGCCGCCGCGTGTTAGACCTTAGATAAACAAAAATGATCCAATTCCCTTCATACTTTAATCCTGACTTAGAACACGAAAATACCAAGATATTTCTTTCGTTTAAGCAACCAATTTATTGACTAGGTAAATGGTGTGACCTTGACACAAAAAATAATATGAACTGTTTACCTATCTTGGTATTTCCGGCGTATTTAAAAATGGAATCATACTTATTTACAACAATTGTCAATCATTAAACTACCTATTTACCTACATAACTACACTAACCTTAACAAATGTTCAAAGCGAGCTCCTTCTCGTGTGATACACAGTTCGGCACGTTTACACATATTGTCTTTCACACGATTTAATACGAATGGGTCACTTTTAATAGTTTTGAAATCACTATTGATTTTTAATTTCAACTCCTCTCTGTTTACATACTCTGTAGCATACACAAGACGTTTCCTTGGGCATGTGTTGGAACACGGAACTGTCCGAAGTCTCGTAATCTTTGATTAGCGTTTAAGTTGACGCTGGCCGTAGGTACTCGACGATTGGGGAATATCTCCCGGTACAAATTGATTGCGCCCGGCAAGCTATCATTTGCACGCGCATACGCATGAACCATGTCCAAGTATTCTGCATTTGCGTATTGAAAAGCCATACTTAATTACTAATAAGTAATAACGGGTCACACGCACACACGACAGATTATTATTAGGTATACGCGTAAGATCGATCGCTAGGCGCGCACGCGGGAAGACGAACGTACGGACCTTACGGCGGCGCTCGCCCGACTAATTAGCCACGGCGCGTCGGTGGGGAGTAGCGACACACTGGCGCCGGCAAGGCTGGGTACGTGTCCAAACTTTATTTATTTATACGGAAATTTGGTCAAAAATTAAGTACCTATTTTTTTTACATAATTCGAATGAGAATCATGTACCGAGTATGCTCCTTAAATATTGATAGTAATTCACCAGTCACCCTGTATATATTGAAAACTGTTTATAAACAGACATATACTCAAATCACAATTAACAGAATTTTTTGTAGTGTGTTTGATTTAATGTTTTTCATTGCATGTGTTTGAACAAGGAGCCGACCAAATCCATAAAGGTGAGTTTCCCTTACACCTTCCACAGAATCTGATAATACTTTAACCGTTCTCACAAAAAATCTTTCAATCAATTCTATACCTTATGTATATTTATTTTCCAGCATGGATTTCTCTACTAAATATATATTTGAGATTTTATTTATGTATTGATTGTATATATCTATTCTATGATTTAACACAATAATATAGAAAAATTACTTTCGTATAGCAAATTTATTATTAATATATATTATATGTAAATTGTTAATTAAAATAAAATCTCGAATAACGTGTGCACTAACAATTTGAAAGATGGAGTTGACGGATTCTGGGAAATTCATCGAAGTTGAGAAAGAAGCGTTTGAAAACGAGGGCATAGACAAGGATGCGACTGTAGATAGAACCATAGACAAGACAGATTCCATAGACAAAAATACCACACCAAACCAATCACCAGGAAAAAGTGTGAGAATCAAAGAAAATGGAGCCAAAACCAACGATAAAAACCAAGTGAACGTACGTTTGTGTTTAAAACTAAACATACTAATTATTTTAATAATAATACACACAATTATTATTCAGAGCACCCTGTATACAAACAATAAATTACACAAATTGTTTTGGCATAATTTTTTGAACACACTGTATATACAATAGATTATTTTAACATTTGTATACAACTGATAGACTATTAATTCATAATTATATATAATAAAAACATACAGAAATAATGATATACTTTAGTAGGTGGTACTTACTTCACAAATATATATATATATATTAAATTATTATATTTTTTGTTTAACAGCAAGGTGACTTTGTGAATCAAGAATCACCCCCAGACCCTGCCCCAAGAAAGAAAAGAAGAGACTTCTTTGGAACCATTAAGAGAAGGTTATAATTTATAATAATGAAAAAAACCTTTATTATAAATAAAATAATTAACTTGGAATATAACATAAGAAAAAACTAACTACTATTATTGTTAAATTCATTGATTTATCAAAGAATTAACATGAGGATTCGAATCTGAGACTTACTTTATATGATATTCAGTCACTATTTCATTTGAGCTATTGTGTCCTCATACAAATTGATGACATTTTTTTTTTAAATATAAGTCTTGCCCACTATTGCTTTAAATTTAAAAACATTATACCATAATTGTTATATATTTTTCCTTACTAATAAAGTATATATGTGTTAGTATGTCTTGATTTTCTGTAGTAATTAATATCAAGTGTTATATATATATATATTGTTGTTGTGTAGACTGGGTCGATCCCGCACCAGGTCGGACTTGTCTGATGACCACGTGAGGAGCGTCAGCGCTGAGAGGAACAGTCTGGGTGAGGATGAACAGACACACACACACACATACACAAACACATACATTTTATATTTGATATATTTTAATAGCTCTGATTATTACAACCCGTATTTTTCATAAAAAAATATATATAGGTATGAAAATAATCTTCATGATAATTATAGTAGGCCAGTGCAGAAGCCTTTAAAATTAATGAAAAATGAAAATAAGTTATAGTAAAATGAAACTCATTAGAAAAGGAGGGGAATATTATAAAAATTAAAGGAAAAATAATTTACGGGCGATCTGAGGTCGGGAAGGGTAGGCGGATGGGTATTTAATTGTAAAAAATGAGTATTCTCGATTTCCGGCAAAACTAAAAGTCCTACGGAAAAAAGTCATACGGCAAAGTTGTAGCTAATAAAAAGATCTAAAACTTTTGTACTAACATTTTTTTCATATAACCTCAAATTTTATGTGAAAAATTCGAAAAACCAAGTTTTTGGTTTTTTATTTTTATCTCTTACAAAAAACAATATTTTGTCACGAAATTTGGTGAAAACTTACCTTTTGATGTCCCAAATACAATGTAATTTATTTGATTAGAAATATTTATTTTGTATAAATACCGTAAAATTAGCCTCAATTTCAATCAAAAAAATCATCCTTCAAAATAACAGTTTTTTCAAAAATTGTGTATGTTTTCTATTTGTTAAAATGTCTTTTTTCCGATGGTGAAGAAAAAAATATAAGTTTCTTACTTACAGTGTCATTTTTGGATAAAATAATCATGTCTTTTTTTAATGAAATAACACTCGACATCGTTTTGAAAATGCTCTTTCTAATTTATTTTTAATAGTTGTGTACTCTGGAAGTTTTCCAGATAGTCCCCCTTTTAAAAAACTATTAAAAATATACTATAAGTAAGAAACTTATATTTTCTTCTTCACTTTAGGAAAAAAGAGATTTCAACGAACAGAAAACACTCCAAATTTTTGAAAAAACCTGATATTTTGACGGGTGATTTCTCGATTGAAAATGAGGCTAGTTTTTCGATATTTGTTCAAAATAAGCTGAAAAAATAAATATTTCTAATCAAATAAATTATACTATATTAGGGACATCAAACAGTAAGTTTTCACCAAATTTCGTGACAAAATAATGTTTTTTGTGAGAGATAAAAATAAAAAACCAAAAACTTGGTTTTTCGAATTTATCACATAAATTTTGAGGTGATGAGAAAAAAATGATACTACAAAAGTTTTAGATCTTTTTATTACCTACAACTTTGCCATATAACTTTTTTCCGTAGGACTTTTAATGTTGTCGGAAATCAAGAAAACCCATTTTTTACCCTTAAATACCCACCCCCCACACTCTTCCCGACCTCAGATCGCCCGTAAATTAGTTTTCCTTTAATTTTTATAATATTCCCCTCCTTTTCTAATAACTTTCATTCTACTATAATTTAATTATGTTTTAAAAGCTATTGGCACTGGTCTATAATGTTTTTATAACAAATAATACATTCCCATGATACCTTAATAAGAGTGACATTTTAGTTGGAGTATATACAGTAATATTTGAAATATTTTCGTGAATACAGATAAGTCGTTGGTTCCGAGTCGTACTGTGTACTCGGCGGGAGCATCACCAGCGCAATCTGGCGACGAATCTAGAACTTCTAGAAGGTACAACTTAAAAAACAAATACAAAATATATATAATATATTTTTCACATTAAAATCCTAATTAGATGTAAAGCTTAGCTATATTAATGATTAAAATGATTTTTTTATTATTATATATATTATAACATCACTAAATGTATATTTTTTCTCTTTTTCCATCACGCAACACTCACGCGGGGACGCACGCACTCGGATATGGTAACATTGGTACTTCAAACTAATTCATCTATTGGCTGTTTCTGTCGCTTTTAATCATTTATTTACATCATTGTCAAAATTATCGTATATGGAATTAAAATTAAATAATTAGATCGTCTCTTAGTGAAGTGTCTGGATTTAGTACGGCGTCGGCGAGAACTTTCATCCACGAAGCGTCTACACTCGTCTTAGAAACTATAGAAGCTGGTATTAAGAAGCATTACTTGGTGCCGCTGACTGTGGCTCAAAGATCACGTTGGAGGAGAAAGGGTGTTAAACTACATATATATAATGAACATACTTTCGTCGCTAAACACCTTAGCGGGTGAGAATTTTATGATTATTTTTATACTATTTGTATACGAAATAGGTTAAAAAATGAGTTCGCTTTGATTTGAAAAGATTGCGAATGTCAAACGTCTTTAATGACGTGTGGAAGTGAGATAGATATATCTCTATCTCTCTCACTCCGTAATATACGAAACGTAATTATCTGTCAACTTGAAATCTCACCAAATCACACTTCGTAATACTCTTATTATATTCAGCAGCTAAATTCTCAAGTCAAAAATAACTAACGATTTACTTTAAAATTTTATTTGACTAGTACGTTTTTTTTTATAATGAGAACAATATTTTCCACTGACATCTGACACTTGACAGAATGTTCATATGCAACTTTTTTTTTTAATTTGATCAAAGTTTTTCTCATTCTGCCAATACACAGTATGTCCTATATTCAACTTTTTTTAAATGAGCACAATATTCTCTTCATTCTGCTACAATATGTCATATATGCATTTTTTTTTAATTTTGATCAAAGTTTTCTACATTCTGCCAATATACCATACGTCCTATTTTTTTTTTTAATAAGCACAATGTTTTCTCCATTCTGCCAATATACAGTATGTACTATTTTTTTTTAATAATCACAATGTTTTCTCCATTCTGCCAGCGGAACAGTATGTCCTGTATGTAACAAGACCGTCGCCCGTCGTCTCGGTAAACAAGGCTATGAGTGTCGCGACTGTTTGTTACGCTGCCACAAACACTGCCACGTCCGCGTCCCGGCCGCCTGCCCGCGGTCCACCGTCCGAGATATGGAGCTGTGAGTATTGGCTAAATAACTTTAGACTATTGGCTGTATGATTTAAACCAAACATAAAAAAAAAAATTTGGCTGTATGAGTTGGACCGAATTGAAATTTTTGTTTGGTTCGATTTTTAAAAAGTATGAATTTTATAGATGACATTTGACAGTAATTTAGAAATGTATAAATGGTTTGAAATATAAATAAAAGCAATTTTTTAATAACAATATGAGCATAAAAGGTTCTATATATAATATTATATTTAATATATGTATATTGTACATATTAAAAGATGGAGTTGATTAAAAATAAACTTAAATTAATTGAATTAAACGGTTATGAATTTTATATATAATAATACGTTTTCTGGTTTCCTTCATCTTGAGGATCGAGAGATTCTAATGGTAACATTAATATAGTAATTCACTTCATCTAATAAAAAATACATAAAACCATATTTAATTGGTAAGTAATGCCTTCAGACTCGGCCGTCATATAAATAGCCCTGTCTGAAGGTGTACAGACAGACTACGCGACATTTATATATAAACATAGTAGTTCATGCTTTAACGAAGAACAGAATATGTAGAAAGCTAAGGAATCATGAAAATGCTTTCGACAAAGCTTTTGTTTTAGTTTACGAGATCAATGTATGAAGAAAATAAAAATTAATTATTTAATACATGAACCTGACTTAGATATATCTGTATATTAAATAATACTTAATTTTTTTTATTGAATTAATATATTTTTCACATACCAATAATGTTTTTTATATAATGAGATCTCGTAGACTTGGTTTATTTACGCTATGCTTATAAGATTTTTATTTCCAACGCTGCCAAGGTCCCATTCCCATAGTTTTGGAAATGGAAGGTATATTTAGATTTTAAAGCTTAGAAATTTTCAGACAAAATTGTTTTTTGTTAATATATTGGTCATTGTAACTTAGAATTATTTTTTTAATGAAAGTGATATTGAATTCTGTAATTTTCTACATTTCTTAAGTGCAATTAATTATTAACTATTAATTCTGACGAAACGAACTTGTATTAGGGACTGTATATATTTTTTGATTATAACATATAAAGATAAAATGAGGTTATGCATTAATAATTTGATTAATGTTCTAGTTTGTCTGAAAATTTTAGGTTTCTGTTTAAAATGGCGCTACTAGCGCCATCAAGAATTAATGTTTATATATATTAGATGAAAAAATGTCATGTTGCATTGCTTTGTGTTCGTCTCTTCAGTTACGCGCGAGTGGTGCCAAGTTTTTATAGCTGTATATTAAAATTATTTAATTAATAATATATTTTATTAGAAATTTATCAAGACACTGTAATTTTTATATTTATTTATTAGCTTCCCGTACTTTTGTTGCCAGCACGCGTTAATTCATCGTATTTAGTGTTGCCAATATTTAATAATTAAGAAAGAAAATGACTTGTAATTATTCTTCTAGATCCATGCTCCCAGTGTTAAACGAATGAAGTTGAAGACTGCAAGAAAAATATTAAAAAAATCTAAAAAAAAATTACAAGCTACTCAGGTCCTTTGAACATAATGAAGTCTGTAGACGGCTTTATAATAGTTTGGCTTTTTGTGGCATGAACTAGCTTACACTGTAGATGTGATTTCAATATTATTTTATTAATACAAATCAAACTAATATTTTTTAAGTAATAACAAAGCTTATCACAGATGACGCAGCCTTTTAAGCTGTTTTTTTATTCAATGATAGAAAATTTAGTTTTATCACAATTACTAATTCTGTTTTCGTTTTAATAAACAGCTTGTTGTGTTAGAAAAAATGAAATCTGAAAGATTTTTTTTATTGTATATTATTTTTGGTCTGCATGTTGTATTCAATATTTTTGTCTATTATCAAGCACCAAATTGACTCGGTGTTTTTTGTCTCAGGGTTGCCACTACTTTGTTTTTTTTATTATCCAACATATATATATATGTAATGTCGTGAAACAAGGACGTGGTAACCCTGTCACCTCTAAACTTGTCAGTGTTATAATACTAGTTCTGTTTCCAGGGCTTACATCTCATCTCCGTACACCGACAGAAACATAAGGATGTTGTGATTCAGCTTCTGCACAAATATTTATTAAGGACAATTGAAGTACAACGTACTATATTATGAATAAATTGTGACGGCTTTTTTTACGAATATATTAATGACGGCTTTATATTAGGTGTAAGGGAGGTCAGTTAATCGCTTTTCATCGCGTTAGTTTAGATTAGTTCGCTAGTACCCACAAGTTACCTTTCAAAGCCAAAGCCGAGGGACGTCGCTACCTCCAAGCTAACAGAGCATCACAATATTAATTTGTATAATCTTTGAATAAGGCCTACAGCACTTCGTTATACTATTTGTAATCGCACAACGTTATATATTTGTGCTTAAAGCATATACCACCTTGAATGTGTGAGCGTCTGTTTCTCTATATACTTGTTATATATTCTGTTTCGGTACATGACATATTGTATATTATTGTTAATTATATTATTTGTAAAGTGATTATTTTTTATTTAATGTTTATTTATAAATGTTGACGATGTTTTCTTCTTTGATATAATTTTCGACTTTTAATAAAATGCCTTTTTTTTAATGTGTCTTTTTCATTGAACTACGAATGCGACGATTTCATAATATACAGTTCTTAATTCATTATGTAATTTATTTTAAAAATGAGATATCATACTCTTTTCAGACTAAATATGTATTTTTAGTTACTACAGTTGGCCTTGAGTCAAAAATAATAACAGTTTATTTACAAAACCACAAGCCTTGGCCTATACGATTAAGGAAACCTCAGAGTTATTTTATATCTTGTTTCGAAAGTAAACATTTGACATTTACAGTTCACTAACCACTCATTAATCCAAAAAAATATTCCAAAAATGTATTAATGTTAGTTCTGGACAGGCCCAAGTCTTTGAGTAGGTTGTAGAGAGATTTAGCTGTTATACCTCTCGCTCCCACACCTCTACCGAGTAAAAATCAACGACGAACCTATTTAGAGTTAGTTCGTTAGTGAGCTCGTAATACTTATTGACCTTGATGGCATGGTCTTTGGGGATGTTGGTTTCCCAAGGCACCGTAAGCTCTATCATCACAACACACTTTAAAAAACGCGAATATAGAAATATGTCTGGTCTGGAGGCCGACGCACAAATATCCTTGGGGATTTTGTATTGTTTCTCGTTTGTGGTTATTTCCCTTTGCACTCTGGCTACCGAAAGACTAACCGCTTCACGTATGATCTCTAGAATCGTAACGACGCGAGTATTGACCTCTGTCCAGGAGAACCCTACATCCTACCAGCAAATGCTTAGCAGTTCCAACTGCCTTTCCACAGATATAGCAAGTTTTTTCGGTACCTTTAGCCCATCTTACTAAATTACTCTGATCTGGGAGAGTCATCTGGAACGCATTGAGATAGAATTTTAGCAATGCCGGTAACCAATCATAAATTAAAGTGCGCCATTTTAATGCTAATGGGATGCAAAAGTCTCCTATGTCTAACCACTCGTTCTGCATTTCTAAATTCATTGCATGGATCTTATATTTATCATTCTCGTCTTGCCGAATAAAAGATTTGATCCTAATCCCGCTCTGTTACTTTGTGCTCCTATCATAAATTGCTTATGGAATTGAAGTCGTGACTCTAGCTCGGGGGCATCTTCATCTTTTGGGAGCGATGTCACTATGTCATCATGGGATTTTCCCAGGATATGTCTCTTGGAAACTCTTAGGTGTTTATAGAGCTCCGATGGCCTTTTTAGACTCATCCCAAAACTATTGCTTCCCCTAAATAACGCCGATGAATCAGCCGTTAGAGCGAGCCCGAGCCACAACTTCAACATCTTTATGACGCCTGCATCTAACTTTGACAAAAGGGTTTTATTAAAATCATAGACGAGGAAAGGCCAATTCAAACGTGAAGTTAAGTAATTATCGTAGATCCACGCCTTTTTGACATTACTGATCTATCTATATACATATATTCAGGAAACACGTATTTTGAACCAAACCTTACAATTCCCGAACACACCCGAAGTGATGTTAAAGCATTTGGTTTTTTCACTTTTACACGGGAAAGCATTTTTTCGACGCGATTTGTCTTTGCAATTTTAATTTAACTTATTTAAGGGATATTGTTTAAGATAATAATTAGGTTCTTCTAGTAAAGGTTTGATTTGTTATTTAAAAGTACTGGCTTTATAAGTCAACTACATATATTGTTTAATGATTTTGTTAGAATCCTTAATACATATAATCTTAACTCATTTTGCGCCAAAAAATTTTGGATTCCAATAATTTTTAATATTTAGAAATAATTGTCATCAAAAAAATGTATCTTCTCCATGTTAGAAGAGGCTTTTGCTCAGCAGTGGGCTCCTATAAAGTGATGACGAATTATTTTTAATGTATTCGGGTGTAGTAAATAAAACAACTTTCACTTACGTATCAATTTATTGACTCCAGCATATGTACATACATCAAGCACTCGATAAACGCACGAGCTGTATTATCGGTAATTTAGTAGAAATCGATAAAATGTAACTAAACCTCGGTGTATCTGGCAGTGTTTAAGGAATACGGCGTCATACAATGATTACGCGACTAAAATTTAGAATAATATATTATATATATGAAACTGATACATTATATCTCGTTAGGAATCACTAGCACAGGAAATAAACAATTAGAATGTCTGAGTAGAATATATGTAGTAATCAGATAACAGTTATATAAGATAATATACGTGAAAAGGAAATAAATAAATAAAAAAAGATGCTATCACAAAAAAAATATATATATAATTCGTAGGTCTATGTACAATTATTCAAATGACTACAAAAAAAAAACTTTTTAAACGATTATTAATACAAATCATAGTACATGGTAACCTAATCTACACGAAATATTCAATTTCAACTCCTTACAGTATTTCCATTGACGAAAAATATAGAAACATATACGTTCTAACAGAAAGTTAGTTTGAAAAGAAAATTAGAAAAAAGTTTTTTCCACGGAAATATTGTAAGGAGTTTTTGTATCATCAAGACAAAACCTTCATATACGGAAAAAATTGCAAGCACTAAACGTGCAGTCAATAAAAAAGTTCCAAAAATTGTTCGCGATAAAAAACACCAATATCATCCACAAATAAAGATTAGGCGAATCAAAAGTTCATCCAAAATTTTTTTTAACTTCAACCATTAACACCAAATCTTTGACATAACTGAGACCAATATAAAATGAACCGCAAGATTCGTCACACCGACAATTTGGTTATAATATCTTATATATAACACTAAGTCATTAATTAATGTATAAGCTTCGATTTTATTACTAAATAATCACACGACGATGACGTATATAGAAAGCGGTACGAACGAAATAAAAATTGTACACACGCCTCCAGCACCAGAAAGTAAGCCAATGTCAATCCCAAAAAAGGATTTCACATGCAGAACAAAAAACAATACAAATAATGATCATTCAAAGAAAATAATCATAATATTGAACACAGAACATTTACAAATGCATGTAAGTCATATAAAACGTATGTAAATGCGTTGCGAATGTATACGATAGCATTTTCAGGCCACGAAAGGCTCTGGGAATGGAAGTTCAGTCCGTTGATACACTTACAAGCTACAGTAAACTAGGGGTCATTGAAAATATATGAAGATACTGAGATCTGTGAAGTGACCAGTTGACTATGAACCACGAATGTATGTAGAGCCAAGTTAACTATGAACCACGAATGTATGTAGAGCCAAGTTAACTATGAACAACGAATGTGTTTAGAGCCAAGTTAACTATGAACCACGAATGTGTGTAGAGCCAAGTTAACTATGAACCACGAATGTATGAATAGCCAAGTTAACTATGAACCACGAATGTATGAATAGCCCAGTTAAATATTAACCACGAATATATGAAGAGCCCAGTTAACTTTGTACCACGAATATGTTTAGAGCCAAGTTGACTGTGAACCACGAATGTATGAATAGCCAAGTTAACTGTGAACCACGAATGTATGAATAGCCAAGTTAACTATGAACCACGAATGTTTAGAGCCAAGTTAACTATCAACCACGAATGTATGTAGAGCCAAGTTAACTATGAACCACGAATGTTTAGAGCCAAGTTAACTATGAACCACGAATGTATGAATAGCCCAGTTAACTATAAACCACAAGTGCATGAAAAGCCTAGTTATCTATGATCTCCAAATGTGTGTGTAGAGCAGTTATCTATGAATCACAAATGTATGAAAACAAGTTGTCTATAGAACAGAGTTGTGCGTAAAGCTAAGTTACTGACACACATGCTAGTCTGTTATCAATAGAACATAGTGACTTTTGAGAAGAGAGAAAGAAAACATTTAGATTCGAGCCATAAAAAATATACAAGATAATGACAGTTAGATAAAAATGAAATTACCTTGCGTTAAGATATTTCAGTATGTCATATATATATGTGTATGTGTGTGTGTACATAAATAACATATCTAACATGTGTGTCAGTATATAGTAAACCCATTAAATCATCAGCACTATTTAAACCCCAGTCCACATCACATAGAAAGCTTCACTTCGCTTCAACCGTACTGTATACATGTACTTCAATTTATTTCAATACTGTTACACATTATAATATTATCTAATGTCGGGTGAAAATATATGTATAATTTAGTTCGCCTACGTCACTACCAAGCCTCCGTATAGTGAGTAAAATATTATATATATATAAATTATTCGATACTGTGTTTTTTATTCAAAATTGTCGAATTCATAAATGTGTCATTATACATTTTATTATGTATATAATGCTATGTGTTTGTGAATTTATATATGTGTTTAAAATGTTTCTATTACAAAATGGAAGACTACATTTTATTTATTAAAAAAAATTTCACCCGACATAAGAGTTACACAATTCATTAAATATGTATACCACCTAAACGCTACGTTAATTATGGCAACACACGTCGCACGATAGACCGTTAAAGGAAAGATTCTTATAATATACAAAATGTGTTGCCATTATAATCAATAAATACTAACACTAGACATAACTTGACACTAGCTTGATTAATATATATCGGTTTTTTAATTATTATTATTATTTTTTTAATAAATTAAACAGCTAGCTGATTATTCATTTTTTTTATGTAAAATTGACGCAAACGATATATGAATTATTCAAAAAAACCGATAGTAAATGTACATATCGAAACATATACCGAATAAATAAATTTTTAATTAAGATACAAACGCATTTCTCAATGCTTTAAAGTTTAAACTATAGATCGTAGCCAAATTAATATTTCGACACCATCTATTTATCAAACCGTCCTACATTATCAAACTCAGCCTTATTTGGGGCGTTATTAGCATTTTCAATACAAAAAATTTGTTACTAAATAGCTACAGAAATGCATACATGTCGAAAATATTGATACAAAAAACACAATTGAAAGCATTTTATGAATCATTTCAATAAAAATGATAGAAGACGGTCTGCGAAGGTTCACGTGTGGTTGTAGACTAGTTTACCTCCGGGCGAACTCTGCTTTCATGGCTGAAACAGAATAACATCATCATTATTAGCATATCAGAGCCCACTGCTGAAAGATTTCTTCTCATATGGAGAAGATTAGAGCATTAATCACCACGCTTGTAAGACGTATTGGCGATTTCAGTCTTATTATGTAACAAAATATACATTTATATAGATAATTAATTAATGAAATTATACAGGATGTCATGTTCAATATTGTTATACAATAGATCCTGCTCGTAATTACGGCGAGAATATTTATTTATATCTAGTTTAAAGAATAGTAGGTGTGACAGAAATTGTATAACTAAAGAGCAGCGTTACTATATCGTTTCATTTTAAGAATACATTATTTCTTCACTAATTGAAACACCATCCACTTATCCCTTCTAAATGAAATCACAAATCATTTCCCAGGCCACAAAAGGCCCTAATTTCATTATGTGTCTCTTAAAACCTTTCTATTAGGTTTACAAAGTCCTCTAGGGGAAAATTAACTTAAAAATCATCCCCAAGCCTTTACACAACATCCTTATGTCTTTGTGTATTCCCTACTTCTCTCTATTAAGCCTGTAGCGACCTCAAGTGAGAGTTATAGTGCGTTTCATTTAAGCTGAGCTTTGCATTTATATGACGGATAGTGTAGGTGTGATGTTAAATTTTTGAATGAAACGTTCTTTTCTAGTTTTTAACCGGTTTATTCTACTTTTACTCCGCCCCGCACTTTCCGCACTTCACCTTTTGTACTGGTAGCAACATCAAATGTTGAAAACGATATGTCAAGTGAGTAAGAATTTGTATAGTTTTTTCAAAATTTATTAATTAATATATTTTTTTCCATGGTATTCATAAAATTACCATCTGGCCTTTTAGAAGTTTTGCTTATTTTATAGCACTTATGTTATGTATCTATTTAAAATATAATAGAACATAAATTTAATAGTTTTTTGTCTAACTCTACTTTTACTTTCACTCACACAAATGCAAGGCTCAGCTTAAGTCTAACGGAGTATACCACTAACTTTATCAAAGTCTATCCTATATTGTATCCGCGCCCATTTCTTTGTGTATTCCCTACTTCTCTATTAAGCCTGCAGCGCCCTCTCGTGGTAGTTATCCCCACTTTGTCAAAGTCTATCCCATGTTCACCGTCACCAACCCTAATGTTTTAACAGTGGATTTGCTGTTTTCACATTGATGACCATGTTTTTTATTTCATTCCTATTTTCTACAGTTTTTCGCGTTCAACGCCACCTTATACATTACTATGAAAACATTTTTTGATAACCACTACGCAATAAAACGCAATGACAAATGACTAAATAATAAAAAATATTGAAGATGAGGCAATTGAAAATGAAACTGAGAAATAATTTTAATTTGATTTTTTGTTTTATGTTGCCGTAATTATAAATATATTATGTGAGTTCTAGTATGTAACTAAGAAAGTTGTTTATTATTTAATGATATGAGCAAAATTATGAAATCTGCCTTTTTTTCTTTACCTACCGCTTTGTACTGTTTTTTTTTAGGCGAGTTGTTGTTTTTTTTAGTTTTTTGAGGTTTATATTGCCCCACATACCGTCTAATATATCCCTCTTCATAGCAGCGACCTGCGCCCGTATCTCCCTCAACACGTCCTGCTTGAAGCTGTCCCACTCGGCCGCTCCGCCGCACGCGCAGCCGCCCTCGCCCGAGCCATTCACTTGCTGGAAATATATATAAGAACTTTAATATGAGATTGTATGAAGATTATAGATATTGAGATATAAATATGATCAATATGGCGTATTAAGCTCTCTATCTTAATCCTCATGAGTCTTTACTTACTTTAATACATATATGTAATTGTAGTGTCAGTGGTGTCCTAGTGGTTAAAAGGCCGGTTTCTCATGCACGAGAGCGCGGGTTCGATCCTGACATGTACCAATGTGATTTTTCCGAGTCATGTGTGCTTTATAAGAGTATTTAGACATCACTGATTAATGCATTCCCAGAGAGGGTTGATGTCAGACAGGCGGCCGGTCGTAAAAACAATTAGCCAAAACTATTCACAACATGTAAGGCAGACCCTGGCTAAAGCTGGGAAAGATATGTATGTGTGTAACCTTAAGTATAGTTTCCTCGCTAGCTGAACCGAATCTCTTCCTGGCTGCTCGCGGCGACTGCGCGGCGGGATTACATTCAGCATTCACTGGAAATATATAAAAATATATATAAGAAAAACTGAATTTATAATGTGCGAGGAAACTGTTGTCAAGAAGAGAATTAAAAGGAAGTAAAATAGTTGACATTTATTTTAATTGTGATATTGACATCTATATTTTAAACTAATAGCTACAAATATATTTTCTTTTTATTGTGAACCTAATATAGACTGTAACTTTTGTAGATGCAACACTTAAATATTTTTTTATGGAGAAACTTATAAATTTTTCAAATGATTTTGTCATGCAACTTATAATATCCCTACTAATATTATTAATGCGAAAGTAACTCTGCCTGTCTGTCTGTTACGCTTTCACGCCTAAACCACTGAACTGATTTTAATGAAATTTGGTACAGACATAGAGTTGACCTTGAGAAAGAACATAGGATAGTTTTTATCCCAGACTCTTGAAAGGTTCTCTTGGTAACGCAATATAACCGAACTCCACGCGGGCGGAGCTGCGGGCGGAAAGCTAGTATATATGTTAGTACATACCAGGCGTATTTCCGTTGGGTAGTCGATGCGGCAGGGTGGCAGATCTTTCCCAAGACTTCATAGGGGTCGAGCTCGCTGAACTTTCAGTAGATGACTCCTGAAACATATACACTGATAGTTATAAACATATATATGTATATAAAGTTCTGTTAGTTACTCTATTTATAACACAAGAACGACTGTATTAATATGGATGAACATTGGTGGAGAGATATCTTAGAGACAGGAGACGGTATATACTTCATACTGTTCGTCCTAAAAAAAACTAATAAACTCCAATATCTGGTTATTTACGGCGTCTAGGATAGAATAAAGTTCGCCCGGTCAGTTATACATATCGCGATTGACCCGGTAATCTTACGGTGAATCCATTGGATGCTGAGAGGTTTCGTCTCTTATGAATTACGAAATTAACGCGGAAGGAGTCACGGGCAAAACGTATGTATTGTTGTTAACCTCATTTTTATCTAGATGAGCGAGATGAGCCCTCCTCCTAGCCAGTGTTCGTTGCATCTCATGCATCATAGTGTGAAGAGTTCCGCGGGCGCCGGGCTCCGGGGGGGAGGACTCGCCCGCCGCGGGGGAGGGGGACGGCTGCTGCTGCTGGAAACATACATCACATATACAGGGTGACTGGTGAATTACTATCAATATTTAAGGAGAATACTCGGTACATGATTCTCATTCGAATTATGTAAAAAAAATAGGTACTTAATTTTTGACAAAATTTCCGTATAAATAAGTAAAGTGTTGACACGTTCCAAGTGTTCAAGTGTGGACGCGTGCGGCGGCGTGCTGATACAACACCACGTCACGACACGCGTATGTGTGAGTGTGTGTGTATACCTAATCTGTAGGGTGTTCACACGATGCGTAATTAATTACATAACTTTTGGTTAACTTTACTTAGAAGTTTATTAATATTTATGTTATATTAATTTTTATTTTGTCATATATGATCGTCAAATATCACGTCCTCAAATATCGATAGTAATTCACCAGTCACCCTGTATAAACAAAAAGTCACATATACAGGGTGACTGGTGAATTACTGTCAATATTTAAGGAGAATACTCGGTACATGATTCTCATTCGAATTATGTAAAAAAAATAGGTAGTTAATTTTTGACCAAATTTCCGTATAAATAAATAAAGTGTGGACACGTTCCAAGTGTTCCAAGTGTAGACGCGTGCGGCGGCGTGCTGATACAACACCACGCCGCCGCACGTGTGTGTGTGTGTATACCCAATCTGTAGGGTGTTCACACGATGCGTAATTAATTACATAACTTTTGGTTAACTTTACTTAGTAGTTTATTAATATTTATGTTATATTAATTTTTATTTTGTCATATATGATCGTCAAATATCACGTCCTCAAGTATCGATAGTAATTCACCAGTCGCCCTGTATAAACAAAAAGTCACATATATAAACAAAAAATCACATATATGAAACACAGGGACCATATGCAGTACACAGATAAAATAATAATTAACAGGATTATAAATTTTATATTAACTAATGTTTAAAAAATGTTCATATAAAGGAACGTAAGTGTTTAAGATGTGATTGATTGATGCAAAATATATATGGCGGCGAAACTGTAATGACGAATCCTCTTAACAAGATGTTAGTGTGGAATGAGGTGTACAAGTTGAAAGTGAGAAATAAAAATAATCTTTTATTCCCAAAGACTATTATTTCCATCCCATCCTCGTCAAAGAATGACAATATAATAAAACTCAAAAAAAATACAGAGTACAAGCAAGAGGTTTAATTAATAATTAACATACTGATACATACTTCCTCAAGAAGAAATAAACACTTTTGAAATATTTTTTGGTGTTTTTAGAAGTGGTCTCAAACTTTTTACCGGCAGTACATATTGATATACCAACGTATATTAAAATAATTTAAATAGCTATACACGGTGAATAGAATAATTTCACATCTATCATTACCTGTTGACTCTATATGGTAAGAAAAGACATTATAATTTTAATAATAACATCATAAACAAAATAATATATTCTTTTATATGTATTAGTCTACCCTCTGTTATAATTATCATTTCCTAACCAGACTAAAACGTCTCATGAAAAGACATTATAATTTTAATAATAACATCATAAACAAAATAATATATTCTTTTATATGTATTAGTCTACCCTCTGTTATAATTATCATTTCCTAACCAGACTAAAACGTCTCATGAAGTTGTAACCATATATTATATATATATTACTACTAGCTTTCCGCCCGCAGATTCTCCCGCGTGGACTTCAATTATATCGCGTTTCCAAACGAAAATTTCAAAAGTATGAAATAAAAACTATCCTATGTCCTTTCTCAAGGTCAACTCTATCTCTATATCAAATTTCATTAAAATCAGTTCAGTTTTTAGGCGTGGAAGCGTTACAAACAGACAGAGAGAGTTACTTTGGCATTTATAATATTAGTGACCAACCTTTGCCTGTCTCTTCAGTCTAGCCTGTTGTAGCTGTGCCGCAAGTCCTGCTGCGTCAGTGCCCGCGGAGGGAGGAGGAGGGGGAGGAGGCGGGGCTGGCGCCGAGGGGGCGGGGCTTGGAGTTACGGCCGGCGGCGCGGGGGCGGGGCTTGGTACAGACCCCGGCGGTGGAGGGGGAGGCGGCGGCGCGGGCGCGGGCGGTTGCTGGAATCATATGTGACGTCATGAGGATCAAGTAAGATCATCAGCTAGTAATGATAGATGTATATAGACTCAATATTAGATTAAGGTTACACAAGATGTTAGTAATAATAAACTTTTATTGGTTAAAAGATTACACCACTACAAAACAAACAACAAAATAAAAATCAATAAACAATAATGGTAAGTGTGCAGTAATGAAATCTAACCAAAAGGAGAACCACTCAGTGAAAAATAGAAGCAATGTTGCTACTACACTGATTTTCAGTGATCTCCTAAGGTAAGATGTAGGTAGGAAATAGTATTGGTAGTCATTGGATTAACTAAATGTGATTTAAGCACCTCTTAGTTATATTAGCATGCATCATCATCACACTAGGTGATGATTTAGCTTGTAGTGATAAGAATTTTATAATAATTAAAGCATTTCCTGCAAATATTGCTGGAATCATTATATGTGACGTCATGAGAATCAAGTAAGATCATCAGCTAGTAATGATAGATGAATATAGACTCAATATTATATTAAGGTTAAACAACATGTTAGTAAGAAATGGAATTGGTATTCATTAAATTCAAGTAAATGTGATTTAATTAACTATTAGTTATTAGCATTCATCATCATCAAACTAGGTGATGAAGAATTTATAATAATTTAGGCATTTTCTAGATATCATATTTTTCTTTGTTAATTAACAATAATTGTCATTAATAAATTATATTTCTTTCTGACATCATTAAAGATTACTTATTCAAGGTTCAAAGCTATATAAAATATTATTATACTATAAAGCATGGTAATATATACTTGAATCAAGCTATATTTAATATAATCTTCTTTTGACCATATATAAAGAATATTCCATATTTGTATAGTAAATCAATTTTTTTTAATAAACATATATATATAGTTACCATCGGTGGTGGTTGTGGCGCAGCGGGAGGAGTGGGGGGCGCTATCGGACCCTGGAATATAAAATATTTATATGATGATGTAATGCTCAATAATGGTAATATATAATAATAAACACATAAATAATATGAATGGTTGTAATATATGACTTTTTTATGTATAGAGACTGAGTAATAATCTATACTAATACTATTATAAAGCTGAAGAGTTTGTTTGTTTGAAAGCGCTAATCTCCGAAACTACTGGTTCGAATTGAATAATTCTTTTTGTGTTGGATAGTCCAGTTATCAAGGAAGGGTGTAGGTTATATAACATCACGCTACGACCAATAGGAGCAAAGATATAGTGGTAAATGTGTAAAAAACGGGAGAAATTATTTCATCTTTAAAGCCTTCCGTTGCGTTTGCGGGTTCGATCCTGGCAAGTACCAATGTGATTTTTCCGAGTTATATGCACTTTCTAAGAGTATTTAGACATCACTGATTAATGCATTCCCAAAGAGGGTTGATGTCAGGCAGGCGGCCGGTCGTAAAAACAATTAGCAAACACTATTCACAATATGTAAGGCAGACCCTGGCTATATTTGGGAAATTGCCAGGTAGAGGAAGATTATGTTAATCATACATACATTAGCTGGTGGAGGCAGATTCTGATGCGGCGGCACGGGCGGCGGGGGCGGAGCACCCGCGGCTGACAGAGACATGTTAGGGGGCATTGGAGCACTGAAAGAGTATTGATGATATATTTGAACCTACGACTTATGATACAACGTCTTAGTCACTATGATAATTGAACTATCAAGTCCTTCTGTAAATGTAGGAAGATTCTTTTATTTAATCAAGTGTTTTATTATTTTCTACTACTTTGTGTTTTGGTGATTTAACCCGTAGTTTACTATAGCAACAATAGAAAAATGTCAGTAAAAAAAAGACTTGTGTTTGCTAAACAACCTTCAACCATTATTTGTTATCCATACCTCCCACATAAATATAAATATGTGCTCATGGCATAACATGTTCTATAGTTGACTAACGTCAGTCTTCTGGTATTTTCTAGTAGGTAGGTACCTGTTAGTTCGATGATGTCCGTGTGGTGGCGCGTGTGGTAATGTATGTACGGCGTGCGGGGGCGGCGCGGGCGCGGGGGACGCGACATTCGCTGGCAGGGCAGCCGGCTGGTAATTTGTACTCATTATTATGTAATATGTTCACAATTATACTAACAGTGACAAACAGTGGTGGCCTAATGATTAGAGGGCCCGCATTTCATGCATGAGGGCCCGGGTTCGATCCTGGCAAGTACCAATGTGATTTTTCCGAGTCATATGTACTTTCTAAGAGAATTTAGACATCACTGATTAATGCATTCCCAAAGAGGGTTGATGTCAGGCAGGCGGATCGTAAAAACAATTAGCCAAATAGCCAAAACTATTCACAACATGTAAGGCAGACCCTGGTTAAAGCTGGGACATTGCCAGGTAGAAGAACTGAATTAGGGTATGATAATAGTTTAGTTAGTTACTTCGTAGTCAATGTTTGGTTCTTATTTTAAGTCTTTTTTTTTTGTTCTTATTTGTGCTCCTATCATAAATTGCTTATGTAATTGAAGTCTTAACTACCTTTGGGGCATCTTTGTTTTTTGGAACTACATCATTATGGGATTTTCGCAGGATATATCTTTTGGAAACTCTTAAGTGTTTATAGAGCTGCGATGGCCTTCTTAGATTCATACCAAAACTATTACGATTCTTGAACAAAGCCGATTAATCAACCATTAGCGTAAGCCTCAACTTCAACATTTTTATAACGAGTGCATCTATTTAGTAACACTGTTTTATTGCATTAACTGACTTGGTGATGATGATGCGGTGCGTGGTACTGGCTTGGTGGCTGGTGTGGCAGCTGTTGTGGCTGTTGTGGCTGGTGTGGCAGCTGTTGTGGCTGATGTGGCAGCTGTTGTGGCTGATGCTGCGGCTGGTGGTGTGGTTGGTGTTGTGGCGCGTGGTACTGAGGCTGTTGTAAGATCGCTGCATCTTCTCTGGTCATCGTTCTGGAATTTATGATATAAATATATTAGATTAACAACAATGATGGAATATTTTTATAAGATAGTATTGATCAGTTTGAAAATTAGTTTTCTCTCGTTGTTTCCTCAAGGCTAAAGACGTGTGATCATTAAAAATCTGTTATTATTCAGATAATGTATGCTAGAAGACTGCTTTGAAGGTACCTTGAATCTATCTTCAAGGTACTATCTTTATATAGTACTCTCTATCAAGAAGGTTACCTTTACATACATAACATTATTACGATTCAAACATCCACATAAGAGATGTCAACGGAATTATCACCAAAGGAAACTATATTGAGGTTAATATCATCATCATCGTCATCATCACACTAACCTATATCCCATGTCTTCATCGTAGTGTGTGTTGTGGCCGTTGTAAGGAACTGGTGGATTTGGAACCTGCGCTGGTGGCGCCGTGTTATTTGCCACTTTATTCGCCAGGATCTGAATAATGATATTAAGTTAATTTTAATTAAATTATTAATCTTGATCAAATTTGTTTTCTATGGTATCAAAAGAGTATAAAACTATCTAATTAGTCCTATGCTAATGAATTCTTTTTTTTTAAATGAAAAATATGGATACAAGCTATCTGATATCCAATAGTTGCCGTCACCCATGGAGTTTTATAACAATGATAATGCGGATGCTTCGCCAACCTTGGTTTTTATAGAAGTAGGTTGTTGGGTGGGAATAAGGAAATTGTAGGAAAGGTTGGGAAATATGGAAGGGGCAACCGTTCCTCTCACTCGTCGGACAAAACGCAGCCATTAAAGACTACTTCACGCCGATCTGTGAAAAGGTGGTACTACCTCGGACAAGCCAGAATAAATTCTAGCTGTAGTAACTTGACCACAGCTAGGCTCTACCACCATTTAAGATTCTTACCAAAATTAACAATTTAATTAAGATTACTACTTTCTAACTCTGAAATCTATCTACATTAACTCTTACCTCGAGAGTATGCATCATGGCTCTAGCGAAGCTGTCTGCGTCTTCTCTGCATGAAAAATTCAACCCATAGACGTGTCTGGCATCACGCCATTGATGAAATGTGGCTGTGGCCTGGTTGTACTTTAGGCCACGGACAATGCCACAGTTTATGACCACCTGGAAATAATGATGATCATTTAGCTCAACGATTACAAGGACAACTGAATTTTGGTTGATTTGGGTTTTTATATTCTGCTGACCTATTTGATTTAGGACTTATATTATATCATGAGCTATAAGCTAAAGCCAGATTTGGAGAACTGCTACTTTAATTGGAAACGAATTTGGAAGAAGATTTTTGGATATTTCTGCAAAACTTCAATTGAATAGTATTGTCTGTTTTTCTAATTCATAAAAATCAATAGTGATTCCAAAAGAATGAATACTACAACAAAAAAGTCGAATAAATTTTTCGATATATAAAAACCAATTGTATTTTAATTCTCTAGCTAAAAAAATAATAATATTTTATATTCCTTAATTTCTCTGATTCTGTAATGAGTTATCCTACTAATATTATAATAGCAAAAGTTTGTGAGTCTGTGTGTCTATGTTTGTTACTTCTTCACACTCAAACGGCAGAACCGATTTTGATAAAATTTTGTATACAGGAAGCTGACGTCCAGGAATAACATATAGGCTACTTTACATCCCGGAAATCCGCGGGTAACACCGCGGGGCGCAGCTAGTATTGAATATGTTAGGAGTTTTTGCCTTTTATCTCCTTGCATGATGTATACCTACCTCATGATCATTCAGCTTCCTCCCCACAACCCTGAACGTGTTGTGCTGCGTGTGATGATAGATGTGGACCTTGGACAGCCCGGAGCTCGACCCTGATGGTATCCAACGCTTCATGGCATCATCGTACACCATCACTGATGCGCGGGCGCTGCTTATAGACTGCTCACTGTGAAAAACAAACATATACATAGGTAAGGATAATAAGTAAGTGGTGGCCTAATGGTTAGAGTGCCCGCCTCTCGTTGCCAGTACGCAGTTACGATCCTGGCCCGGGCAAGTACCAATGTGATTTTTCCGAGTCATATGTACTTTCTAAGAATATTTAGACATCACTGATTAATGCATTCCCAAAGAGGGTTGATGTCAGGCAGGCGGAAGGTCGTAAAAACAATTTGTCAAAACTATTCACAACATGTAAGGCAGACCCTGGCTATAGCCGGGAAATTGCCAGGTAGAAGAAGAAGAATTAGGCAATTGAAAGTTCAATATATATACTAGTATTTGCCCGCGATAATACATTTTTAATAATGTATATATGTTTATTTTATTACATAGAATTTAGAAGTAGCGAATAACAAAACTTTTCCTGGAATTAATCACTGTAATTATTTACTGGGAAATACTTTAAAATAGGTTGTATAGATCGGTACGTACGTCATGCAGGTAAATAATTAACTAGCTTTTGCCCGCGACTTCGTCTGCGTTTATTTGGGCATTAGTATCTACTATATGTTTAGCTGACCGGGCGAACTCGATTCCATTTTGGAATTTCTTAAGCATTTGTTCTCTTTTTCGATCGTACAGAATTAAATATCCTATGTCCATCTCCTTGTTCTAATCTATCTCTCCAGCAATTTTCAACCATATACCTACAGCCGTTCTTGAGTTATAAATAGTGTAACTAACACGACTTTCTTTTACATATAAAATAATAATATTATATAAAAAAATATTTGAGTATGTATATATGTTCGTTCCATATTAAATATTTTTGCTTCACAACAATAACACTCAGAAGCAAATATAACACGAGTAGATAACAATTTAGGTGATGTTTTATTTGTTAGTGATTACACTTGTACATTCTATTAAACTAATTAACTAATTAAACATATAATCTAATGCGGTTTTGTTTGTGTTTTTGATGATTATAATAAAACACACTTACAAATAATTTATAATAGATGCCTCTATATTCATTTATAACAGTAAAATAAACTTGTTAAATTAATATAACAAAACGAAATTGCATCTGGTCGGATGTTGCGAAGAATTTCATGACGAGGGATAAGAAATTTGAAAACTTTATTTAATATATCTACAGTAACTAAAAGACGTGATAAGACTGTTTAGGATATATTAGGCCAATGATTTATTACTTTACACTGATGAAATGGTGAGCTATATATATGTATATACCTTAGAATTAAGTTTATAGAGATATATTAAAACCAAATGCAGCAAAGCCAAGAAAGGTGACTTCCTCAAGACACCTCTTATATGTACATGCGTATGCAACCCGGCTTTGCTCATTGCATAACAGAAAATTATTTCAATTTATCTAGACAAATTGGAATTACTACCATATATGGCAAATAAATAAAAATGTAAATTAAAAAGGTCGCTTTTTTGGCGCTGAAAAATAAAAATGGAAGGTTTTTTGGCTGGCAAAAATAAGATGGAGGTTTAATTTTTTTTATGTATTAGTAAATTCATATTTTAATAATCTAAATATTAACGTTTATTATGAACTTGGACCTACTCATGATTTTAATTAAATAATTCAACTGCTAAGACTTAAGGCAATGAGGAAGTGCGTGGTCGTAGGTACAAAACGTATAATTAGTATTACTACACACACACACACACGTTCGCCATTTGTATACGATTGATTGATGAAACTTTGACATAAAATACTACAATTATATTGGTTGAAATTTATTTGACGTTACAAAATATTCCATTCCCATTGGAGGAAATAAATTTTGTTTTATAAAACGAAATTCTATTTGTATTTCAATTATAATTGAACAATTCTTAATTCTTCTTAGAGAGGAGCTTGTACGGTGGAGGCGAGCGTATAATGCGCGTTGGATAGGGTCCCTTAAACCTACACCTGGGTCACAAGTCCCAGTCACTGTTGAAGCTCCTCTAACTACAACGATGGACCCGATACACGCACCGTGAATACATTGAATGATGAGAGGTTTCGTCTCTCTATATATATTAAACCTACACCTGGGTCACAAGTCCCAGTCACTGTTGAAGCTCCTCTCACTACAACGATGGACCCGACACACGCACCGTGAATACATTGAATGATGAGAGGTTTCGTCTCTCTATATATATTAAACCTACACCTGGGTCACAAGTCCCAGTCACTGTTGAAGCTCCTCTCACTACAACGATGGACCCGACACACGCATATGAATACATTGAATGATGAGAGGATTCATCTCTAAATTATCTGATACTGCTTACCAAAAAAACAATACTTATATACAGATCAAAACCTATTATTATTATAACTATGAGCAAAATTTTACATCATCAATAACCATTTTAAATTCACATATTTCAAGTCAAATTTGATTTTTTTAAACCAAGTTAGAAACAGCATATCAGTTATGCAACTGCAGTCTACGCGGACGAAGTCTATTGGAAACGGAGGTCGTTCATTCCTGGTTAGGGTTAAATGATATCCTTACTAATATTATAAATGCGAAAGTAACTCTGTCTGTATGTTACGCTTTCGCGCCTAAACCACTGAACTGACTTTAATGAAATTTGGTACAGACATAGAGTTGACCTTGAGAAAGAACATAGGATAGTTTTTATCCCAGACTTTTGAAAGGTTCTCTTGGAAACGCGATATAACCGAACTCCACGCGGGCGGAAAGCTAGACCAATCAAAAAATATACGACAAATTAATAAACATGAGCGTTTATATCAAACAGACGTAGATTTGTTACAAAACTATTGTGGGAGTTCAGTGGGCGCAAATGTTTACCACATGGGCCATAAACAATGGATTGCTTCAAAAAAAATACGCCATGGATGAGTGATTTCGCAACACACCATACTTGGATAATGTAATGATGATGGATTGGAGTTAAGACATATACACTAGCCTAATATGTTAATTTAAAATATATATATACATAATCTTTTCAAGTATCTGCTTAGATACTATAGCAAAAAAAGTAGCATAAATGATATTAAAATCACGTTTTCAAATATTTCAACAAAATTAACACATGCAGTTTAAAAGAACTTGTATTATCTGATTTAAGGCAAATTATTATATTTTATTATATAGACTATTATTCCAAAAGAGGGTTGATGTCAGGCAGGCGACCGGTCGTAAGAACAATTACAGACAGACAGACCCTGGCTAAAGCTGGGAAATTGCCAGGAAGGAGAAGAAGATTATATATAGACTATGAAATAAATAAATATCTATATATGTAAATGCAAAATAATATAGTTTTAATACTATGGTTGCTTATAATCTTTATAAAAATAGATAAAAAAGCAACAATAAACAAATTTGTATATAGAAGATTTTTAACAAACTAATTTACAACAATAGTATGTAACAGAAAAAGACATTTAAACCAGTTTTGTAACAACTTATTATGAACTGTTAATCTATTTTAAACAAAGGTAATAACAAAGCTGATGTCTCAAACAAATGGTTCATAGAAAAAATAACTGGAAATTTATTTAACTCACTACCTGACGCTTTTGTTTGACCATTCAGCATCAAAACAAAGGTTTGTAATAACTATTGTTATGTAATATTTTTCTTGAAGTACATAACTTCCTTGAATATTGGTATTATTAGAAAAATCTCTTTAGATAAGATAATTTCAAAAGATTGATAGTGCTAACACGAGAAATAAACACAAAATTGAATTACCCAAGACCAGGATCAAATACCGAATTAAAACTATACAGTTTGAGGGAGCTATAATAATAGCTTACCTAATGAAATTTTTAATGAAAAAAGTAAAAACCTTTACGATTTTTATAAAAGAAATTATTAAGTTATTGTAAAAAGCACTTAGATTAACTTCTTGATTTGTAAGTCGTTACTACTATACTAAATTGTAAATTAAATTATGTAATATATCTCATTTAAGTGAATATTGTATGTTTTTTACCCACTAAGTGTCTAATACTCACTGTGCCCAATACTCTTCCCAATTTTTTTCCCTATTCGATCCGTATCCACGTGGTAAGGTGGCTGTTTTTCCTCTTCCATTCAAGGTGTTGGAATCCCTTTTATCAGGGAGGCTCATGACTGAATGTCGTTGGACAGGTTCTGATCTGAACGATTGAAATGATATTTGGGATAGCGTATCATCATTGGATTTTAAGCTGGTCTGAGAACCTCGTAGGCCGTTCTGTGTGTTTGTATGTGCGTAATCGTTTTCGGAGGGAATTATATCGCTGTTCATACGATTTATATTTGGTCTTGGAGGTCGTCTGTATTCTAGAGCATCTCCTTTATTGACTGATGCTGACCGCCTCATTTTTGGTGACTCCTGAACATTGACGATCGAAGGCATCTTCGATTCTATCTCCAAATCTATCTCCCTTTCAATCTGTGTCTGCACATGAGCCAGCATCTCCTCCAAATCCCCGAGATCCGGGTTAATATTCATTTTAACGCGACGCATTTTTTAACTGTCACTAATTTTTTTACATAACACGGACACAACCACTCCGGACGACTGTCGGAACTAAACTGACAAGTATGACATTCTTATCACTAACCCGAATACCGTTATCAGCTGACATCCTACGCTATATAATACTATATAGAAATAAACACCATACATACAGACATACACACACACACACACACATACACACACACATACACATACACACACACATACATACATACACACACACGCACATACACACACATACATAGATATATACATCACTGACAATTTAAAACTATTGTTCCAATCATAGGGAAAGCATAAAATTATATTCCGATACATACAAATATACTAAATTACTTAAAACAAAAAAATCGTACGTATTTTTTACAATATAACAAAGCAAATTAGACTTTAATCAATTGTGTTAAGGTTGAATATCGTAATCGTTTATAACATTTACATATAGGTCAAAATAGAAAGTCTCATGCTACATTAAATGTCACGCCATAAAAACTTTATTCAATACAGATGCGCTTTAAAATTAATAATGATATTGTTTTATGAATAAATCGATTTAGAAAACAACTATATATACAGGGTGACTGGTGAATTACTATCGATACTTGAGGACGTGATATTTGACGATCATATATGACAAAATAAAAATAAATATAACATAAATATTAATAAACTTCTAAGTAAAGTTAACCAAAAGTTATGTAATTAATTACGCATCGTATGAACACCCTACAGATTAGGTATACACACACACACATACGCGTGCGGCGGCGTGGTGCTGTATCAGCACGCCGCCGCACGCGTCCACACTTGGAACACACACACACACACACACACACGGAAAACACTTTTTACACAATTCGAATGAGAATCATGTACCGAGTATGCTCCTTAAATATTGATAGTAATTCACCAGTCACCCTGTATATTTGTTCTTTTCTTTATACGTAAATTATTTACTTTTTTCTACATATATTTGAAAGCAAAGCCATAGAAAGACACTAGTATCGTCTTGCATATTAAACGAAACATCCAAATAATAAAGCAATTACCACGCTTTTTCGTTAATTCGTTTAATATCCTGAACAAATCTATTTGTATTTTTGAATCGGAATAAAAATATCATAAGAACTTTAAAATTTTAAACACACCTTTCCAAAGCAATGTTTTTTTTGTAGTTACTGTAATATTTTTAATTTTAGAGATGCCTTTAAAAAAAATAAAAAAGAAAATTTTAATTTAAAAAATCATGTTGGTGTACGGATGAGACCAATGTACAGGAGTTATATATATAATAATCTTTAATAATATATATTTACTAAGAAAAAATAAAAAAGTTAAAACTTGCGAGTGAAGCCGGCTATAGAAACTAGTATTAAACAAAATCAAGATTATTATTTGAGTTAAGATATTGAAATAACTCCGAGTGATACCACAGTGAAGGTTCACTTATGAAAGTTTAGAGAAGGTTTAACCGATGTCGAAAAAGAGGTATGATGATATTTTATTATTAAATAAATAAATTAATTAATTCGCATATAACTATTGTAATTCACATCTGAAATGCTTAACCGAATTGGATGAGGTTCTTTATTGTTATAGATTAAATTTTGGAAGAAATATGTAAGGCGTGATAACTCATCCTTACTTGTATTATAATTGCGAAAGTTTGTGAGTGTGTGTGTGTATGTTTGTTACTTCTTCACGCTCAAACTGCTGAACCGATTTTGATAAAATTTTGTATACAGGAAGCTGACGTCTAGGAATAACACATAGGCTATTTTACATCCCAGAAATATAACACGACGTGAGAAATAATATTTACATACAAATGTAACACCTACTTTTAGTTCATCTTTGTCCCCTTATCCGTACCTAAAGGTACAAATATGAACATCTAAATGGTACACAAGTTCGATTCCCGACCCAAATACAGAATTGGCACAACGCACTCTGATAGAATTTCACGTTTATAGCTATCACTTATAATAGTTTGCCCTTAATTGGTACGGATTTGTCAGTTTTAATTAAGACAACAAACAAAGGAAATGAAATGTAATAATATTTGAATGATATTTATTTCGGCATATAATCCCAAAGAGGGATGATGTAAAGGCGGCCGGTCGTAAAAACAATTAGACAAAACTATTCACAACATGTAAGGCAGACCCTGGCTAAAGCTGGGAAATAGCCAGGTAGAAGAAGAAGAATATCGTGTCGTAGTCGTCACGTTCACGTACATTATAAATCCCTCCTAAACTTATCAAACATATTGACACATAACGCTTCCTATAAAACAAAATGACTAATAGTTTGAATTCTAGTAAACATGTAATTCTCGATATTATTACGTATTACAGGAAATAAAGTTATGATTAAAAAATATACTATTTATATAGAAAAATGCTACCGTTTATACTAGTTGGTAACTATGTAATATATAATTTACCGCAAGTATGGATTAAATAAAATAATTTTTGAGTATTTGTAGGTAATGATAAATAAATATTATCATCATCCTATCAGAGCCCACTGCTGAGCCTCTTCTCACATGGAGAAGGTTTGAGCATTAATCACCATGCTTGTAAGACGGGTTGGTGATTTCAAACTTATAATTTGATATTATAAGTCTAGGTTTCCTCACGATGTTTTCCTTCATCAGTCAATGATGTCTAAATACTCTTAGAAAGTACATATGACTCGGAAGTTTCATTAAAGTATAGAAAAAATATATTAAAACAGAATATTTTTCAAGTTTTAACTTGTTTAGTATTTTATGAAGTTATTGTTAACCAAAACCAACTAATCTTTAAGAAATAACTGAACAAGTTAATTATGTTTTCAATTAGTATAAGATAAGCAGCCTCCTTACTAACGTTTATATAATCTGTTGCTGGTTCGTAATTTGTTGCTATCTGTGCTTGTGACATTTCCGGTCCGGATTCCCGCGCGGGTGATAAAAAAAACATGGCGACCGACCCACGGACTAGTTAAAGAATTTATAAATTTTAACACATAAATTATTTATAAAATTAAGAAATAGGGAAACGTCATATCAAATTACATTAAATAAAAAATATAGGTTTAAATGTCAAATTAATATAAAGTATGTCTTCTTTTCAGTTAATCTAACGTAATCCACCTATAACGGATGTGCAGATTTCGATGTAACTTTTATTAAATGATAGATAAATTTAAAGACCACATGTAGACATGTAGATGAACTTAACACGAAATCGCGTTTCCTTATATGGAAGTACAATTAAGTTATTATTTATAACACTGTTTATATACAAATATATAATATACAAGATTTTCCCGTGACTTCGTCTACGTTAACTCACAAAGTAAATTTAATTAGAACTATATAAAGATCTAAGACTATCGCGTGTATTAATTTAAATGAAACTAATATTTTAAAAGATATTACATCTCGTCTTAATGATCACGGTTGCTGAAAATTAACCGAAACTTCGTAAGTATGTAGTTTTTACAATAATAAAATATTGGAAGTATAATCCGAATAATAGTAGTTTTATAGAAATGTATATTGTATAGTCAGTGGTGGCGTAGTGGTTAAAGGGCTTGCCTCTTGTTGCAGAGGGCGCGGGTTCGATCCTGGCAAGTACCAATGTGATTTTTCCGAGTCATGTGTACTTTATAAGAGTATTTAGACATCACTGATTAATGCCGATTCCCAAAAGAGGGTTGATGTCAGGCAGGCGGCCGGTCGTAAAAACAATTAGCCAAAACTATTCACAACAATATGTAAGGCAGACCCTGGCTAAATCTGGAAAATTTCCAGGTAGAAGATATTAAATACTATCATATCAATATATTAGTTGTATATATCCTTTAATATCTTTTAAAATATTCATTATAATCCAATAATTCCTCCCTATAATATTGGTAACTTCCTGTCTACAACCTAGCGTTTTCAATGATGTCAATCATTTAAAGCACTTCAAGATTTATTTTTTATTCGTATTAATTGTATGTATATAAAGTCTACAATATGAGATTCTGAATTAGTAATATATGTATATCTGACCGGGCGCACTCCATTCTGACCAAGAGGCCGTAAATAACCAGATATTGAAATTAAATAGTGTTTTCTTTCGATCGTACAGAATTAAATATTTTACGTACGTCTCTTGGTTCTAAGCTATCTCTCCACCAATTTCCATCCAAGTCCCTACAGCCGTTCTTGAGTTATAAATAGAGTAACTAACACGACTTTCTTTTATACATATATATAAATTTTATTCCATATCTATATACGTACATACAGTAATATAATCCTATCTTCATACACGCTCTGTAACATAACCGCGTATGTAATGTAAACATGTCCGTCCGTGTGTTACATCATAACACATAACATCGCGTGCTGTGTGATGCCAACTAGCTAACACTTCATCGGATGCTGGCCAGCCGTGAAATTATCTTCCCACGATCATATCTTAAACTTGATGTTAAAATAATATTTAGATTTCTCTCACCTGGTAGCAAGAGAAAGAATATATACTTTTTTCGCTAATATAACTAGCTCAGTCAAAGAAAATTTTAAAGATATATGAATTAAACATTAAATGATTACTTATTGGGAAAAGTACATAAAAAGTCGTTATATAGAAAATATTTCAGCTTAAACTTTCTTCTAATAATCTGCTTCAAATGTAGATACTCGGATTTGCACTATTCTCAATATATATGATTGAATTAACTGCCACAAATAATACGACTATAGATTTAGTTCAACCAAAATAATCGCCCTACATGTTATAATTGTCAAAACTGGGTCATGAAACGCGAAATATTGACCCGCATATGCAGACGTGCTAAGTGTTTAGCCAAAAATGCATGCATGGGCCCATATAAGGGAAGACCTCCCATGATGTCAATAAGAACAATGGTGTTACGTCACAATTGATGCGATGTTGGCATGGCGAATATATTGATCAGTTACAGATGGATAGATCATTGTT